TGTACAAAATTGATCATAAAATAGGTATGTGTCCATTGAGGGAGTGTTTACTAAAATATGAATGCACTTTAATAGTCTTGTCATGATATCCCCTAGAAAACACAAGAATAATGAAAAGTCAAGAGATAAAGGAAAATTCAAGAATCAAGAATAAATGTTTTTGATATATTTATTTCAAAATTTCAGACAATGCTTTTTAAAAGTTTTGTTGTAAATATTGCTAAATGGAGTCTTTAAATTGAATTTTCTCTTGCTAGAGGTGGATTAAGCAGAAAACCATTTATATTCTGGCATTAACGCGTTTCGAAGGGAAAAACCATCAAGAGGGAAAAATCGCAGCGCGTATAGAATAATAGTGAAGTTTTATTAAATTTTTCCGGATTTAGTTTGAGTTTTATTCACTTACAACTAGTTCAATCTTCTAGTGTGTTTTTATGGTCTTTGGTTCAGTTTTCTTGAAATTTCAAAATGTTACAACCAAAACCAAAAAAATTCTCTCTCAAAATCAGATTGAAATTTCCCGAGCTGTGAGGAAAAAACTGTCTCAATGTCATGTTTGGAAAATTTTCAATGTCCGCTAATTAATTGGAGCCTAATTACAGCAACACTTGAGGCTGAGAATTTCTCGATACCGTGGGAAAATCGGCGAATTTTGCTGATTTTGTGTTGGTTTTCACTGTTTTTAGGCTGGTTTAGCTTTTTTTTGCTGGTTTTCACTGTTATTTGGGTTAATTTGGGTTAATTAGTAGAATTTAGCTTCAAGTTAAACAATTTAGCAGGCAGAAAGTGAGTTCTCCAGGCCGAAAGTGATAGGAGAACTGTCACTTTCGGCCTGCTTCAAAGCAAACTAAAGTAAAATAACATTTTCAAACCTTCAAACCAGTAAGAAATGTAAAAATTACATATATGTTTCAAAATAAAAAATGTATCCAGATCCTTACATGTTACATGTTTTTAGAAAAAGATGGGAATACGCTCAGTGCGCACTGATTGACAAATGGAACACGCCATGAATTTCACAAAACCCAGCTAAACCAGTGAAAAGCAGTAAAAATCAGCACATAACCACTGAAAACTAGCTCAAAACCAGCTAATAAACCAGTACAAAACCACCAAAATCTGCCGATTTTCCCCCAGTATCGAAAAAGTTCCCATGTTCAAGTGACCCTATATCTACTTCAACTTTTTCTTCGTAGTGGCGTCACATGTAGGAAATCGCCCGCCGTAATTTTAGAACTCAGTCCGTCCCTGAAAATTAATGAAGCTGTGAGGAAAAAACTATCTTAATGTAATTTCTGGAAAATTTCTAATGTTTGTTAATTTCCATTGTGAAGTTTCTCAGCTGCAATACTGTTGAAACTAAATCAAAATCTCAAATAACAGACTTGTAGAGTTTGGTTCACTTCAGCTTGGGAATTTTTCGAAACGGTGGGAAAATCGGCGGATTTTGCTGGTTTATACTGGTTTTATGCTGGTTTAGCTGTTTTTTGCTGGTTGTCACTGTTATTGGCTAGTATAAGCAAGTCTTGTACTGAATTTCACAAAACCAGCTAAACCAGTGAAAAGCAGTGGAAAGCTGCACATAACCAATGAAAACTAGCACAAAACAAGCTAAACCAGCATAAAACCAGTATAAAACTACCAAAATATGCCGATTATCCCACGGTGTCGAAAAAGTTCCCAGGCTCAAGTGACCTACACCTACTTCAACTTTTTCTTGGTGGTGGCGTCCCATGTAGGAAACCGCCCGCCGTAAGTTTAGAACCCAGTCCGTCCCTGAAAATTAATTACTCTGTCAATATCATTTTTGGAAAATTTCCAATGTTCGTTAATTTCAATTCTGAGATTTCTCAGCTGCATTACTGTTAAAACCAAATTAAAATCTTAACTAATAGGTTTGTAGAGAATTTAATTGGAGCCTAATTACAACAACACTTGAGCCTGGAAACTTTTCGATACCGTGAGAAAATCGGCGGATTTTGCTGGTTTTGTGCTGGTTTTCACTAGTTTTAGGCTGGTTTAGCTGTTTTTTTTTTCTTGGATTTTGCTGGTTTTCACTGGTGTTTGCTAGTATACCAGGTTTTCTACGGAATTTCACAAAACCAGCTGAACCAGTGAAAAGTAGTGAAAATCAGCACATAACCAGTGAAAACTAACACAAAACCAGCTAAACCAGTACAAACCACCAAAATCTGTCGATTTTCCCACGGTATCGAAAAGTTCCCAGGCTCAAGTGACTCTATATGCTCTATACCTACTGGTGGCGTCACATGTAGGAAATCACCCGCCGTAAGTTTAGAACCCAGTTCGTTCCTGAAAATCAATGAAGCTGTGAGGAAAAAACTGTCTCAATGTTATTTTTTAGAAAATTTCCAATGTTCGTTAATTTCAATTTTGAGGTTTCTCAGCTGCAATACTGTTGAAACTAAATCAAAATCCTTATTAACAAACTTGCAGAGAATTTCATTGCCTTAAATTAAAGCCTAATCACATATTATTTTTGGAAAATTTTCATTGTTCGATAATTTCAATTTTGAGATTTCTCAACTGCAATATTGTTAGAACCAAATTGAAATCGTAACTAATAGATTTGTAGAGAATTTATTTGGCTTTAATTGGAGCCTAATTACAACAAAACTTGAGCCTGGGAACTTTTCGATACCGTGAGAAAATCGGCGTCTTTTCAACTTTTTCTTGGTGGCGGCGTCACATGTAGGAAATCGCCCGCCGTAAGTTTAGAACTTAGTTCGTCCCTGAAAATTAATGAAGCTGTGAGCTTTATATCATTTTTGAAAAATTTCCATTGTTCGTTAATTTCAATTTTGAGGTTTCTTAGTTGCAATACTTTTGGAAGTAAATCAAAATCCTAACTAACAAACTTGTAGAGAATTTAATTGGTTTTAATTGGAGCCTTATTACAACAACACTTGAGCCTGGGAACTTTTCGATACCGTGAGAAAATCGGCGTATTTGCTGGTTTTGTACTGGTTTTCACTGGTTTTAGGCTGGTTTAGCTGTTTTGTTTTTTTGCTGGTTTTGACTGTTGTTTGCTAGTATAGCAGGTCTTGTAGTTTATACTGAATTTCACAAAACCAGCTAAACCAGTGAAAAGCAGTGAAAATCAGCACATAACCAGTGAAAACTAGCACAAAATCAGCTAAACCACCAAAATCTGCCGATTTTCTCACGGTACCTATCGAAAAAGTTCCCAGGCTCAAGTGACCCTATACATACTTCAACTTTTTCTTGGTGGTGGCGTCCCATGTAGGAAATCGCCCTAGGTAAGTTTAGAACCCAATTTGTTCCTGAAAATTAATGAAGCTGTGAGGAAAAAACTGTCTTAATGTAATTTCTGGAACATTTCTAATGTTCGTTAATTTCAATTGGGAAATTTCTCAGCTGCAATACTGTTGAAACTAAATCAAAATCTCAAATAACGGACTTGTAGAGTTTGGTTCACTTCAGCTTGGGAACTTTTCGATACGGTGGGAAAATCGGCGGATTTTGCTGGTTTATACTGGTTTTAGGCTGGTTTAGCTGTTTTTTTTTTTTCAGTACAAGACCTGCTATACTAGCAAACAACAGTGACAACCAGCAAAATTCAGCAAAAAAAGCAGCTAAACCAGCCTAAAACCAGTGAAAACCCGCACATAGCTGCTTTTTTTGCTGGATTTTGCTGGTTGTCACTGTTGTTTGCTAGTATAGCAGGTCTTGTACTGAATTTCCATTGAGTCTGCATATTACCAATGAAAACTAGCTCAAAACCAGCTAAACCAGCATAAAACCAGTAAAAAACCACCAAAATATGCCGATTATCCCACGGTGTCGAAAAAGTTCCCAGGCTCAAGTGGCCCTATACCTACTTCAACTTTTTCTTGGTGGTGGCGTTACATGTAGGAAATCGCCCGCCGTAAGTTTAGAACCCAGTCCGTTCCTGAAAATTAATGAAGCCGCGAGGAAAAAACTGTCTCAATGTAAGTTTTGGAAAATTTCCAATGTTCGGTAATTTTAGTTTTGAGGTTTCTCAGCTGCAATACTGTTGAAGCTAAATTAAAATCGTAATTTACTGGTTTGTAGAGAATTTAATTGGCTTTAATTGGAGCCTAATTACAACAACACTTGAGCCTGGGAACTTTACGATACCGTGGGAAAATCGGCGAATTTTGCTGATTTTGTGCTGGTTTTTACTGGTTTTACGCTGATATAGCTTTTTTTGCTGGATTTTGCTGGTTTTCACTGTTGTTTGCTAGTATAGCAGGTCTTGTACTGAATTTCACAAAACCAGCTAAACCAATAAAAAGTAGCGAAAATTAGCACATAACCAGTGAAAGCTAGCACAAAACCAGCTAAACCAGCCTAAAACCAGTACAAAACCACCAAAATCTGGCGAATTTCCCACGGTATCGAAAAAGTTCCCAGGCTCTAGTGACCCTATGGAAAATTTTTGGTAATTTCAATTTTGAGGCTTCTCAGTGCTGCAATACTGTTGAAACCAGCTTTTTGGAAAATTCCAATTCTCCTAAAATTAAATTAAAAATGATAATATGGGCAATTATTCTGGAATTAATTAATGAAATCTTGATAGAATTTTCTGAACTTGGAATATTCCTGGAATGTCTTTATATTACTTTAAATAGTTCTTGTCCAGTCTAGTAGGTAGATATTTTGTTATTCTTGAGAATATATAACTTTAAGATAATTGAATATGAATATTGTATATTCAATAGTGCTTAATTTGTCCTGTTTCGATTGGTTAAAGCCTGAAGCAGAAATTAAATTTTTCAAAATGTAGCTAAAAAAAACAAAACCACTTGGTTTCATTGGTCCACATATACCCAAGGACAACAGAATAATATCTTCATATTATTGGGATTATTTTCAGATACCTTAATTCAGATACATACCAATTTTCTGACTGAATTTTTAAGCTTTATTGGCAATTCTATACGAAAAGTAAAATTCATCCCCTTCCTTTTCCTTCTTCCTAAAAGAATCCTATCAGCAGACGCCGTGCGTCTTCCTGTAACCAACGAAGCGTCGCGACGCCGAATCATTTGATTTTCCAGCCTCATAGGGTCAGGAGCTTTTTGTGATTTTGTGCAATTTTTCCAAAAAAAAAGTGTGTGTGCGTGTTTTTCTCGTCGAGTGCAAAATGTCGATTTGATGGTAGCCATGTGGCGGCTGCCTTCGAGATGTCTACAAGAAGAATTGTTGGTCGCTAGAAGACTTGGACAGCACTGCGTTTATGGGAAATTGTCGTCTAGCAGCATGATTTATCATGGTAAGTTGTAAAAACTAAAATAATTAGTAGTATCATTTTATAAAATCCTCCAGCATAAGTAGGTATATTTATTATTATCAAGTATTCCAGGTTCTTAATGTTCGTTCTGTTCTCAATTCTTAAAAAAAAAAAGAAGGAAAAACCGAAAAAAAATGTTACTTTTTTCTTGGCTCAGAATCTTTCTGATGCCTTTAATTTTTGAGCACCTCCCTTGACGTCTTTTGATAGACTAATTTCTAAATTTTTCTGTTTTTGAATGATCTATACGAGGTCTTATTTTTACAAAAGAACTACCTGTTCTACTTGTATTCAATTAGCTTCAGGCATATCTAACTCTGTAATTTAGAGTATCTCAGAGCTGCTTTTGCTCAGATTTCTTCTAAGTATTTCTCGTATTTCTATTATTCTTGGAATCTTTAGAATTTAAACTAACTTAAGTGCAAATCCGAATTTCTATACTCCAATGAGAGTCTTCTAGAACAGATTTAGTGCAAATTCCTTGTACTTTTATAATTCTGTAGGTTCTAGAATCCACATTAGCCTTAGGAGGTGCAGTTCTAAATCTATATTCCAGCTCAAAAATGTGTGAGTAGATTTATTGTGTTTTCAAAAAAAATTCAAATTTTTGGAGTTCAATTAATTGTGAGTTTATACTCTAGGTGCTAGATGCTTGGTGCTTCTATGAAAAAACTCTGGAATTATTGTACTTAACTGAGAATTTACGGATTTTTCTCTGAGAAGACTTTCAAGATCCTGATTCTTGAGTCATCACTTATTGGTTTTTCTAGAAGAAAATTTTCAGAATCTTCCAGATTCTCAGATGGTTCAAATCCAGAACCTTTCTTTTGCAATTCTTTTCTTTTTCCTTAAGAATATACTCTGGAGGATCTACAAACCCTAAAAATGAGTTGGCATTTTCATGAAAAAATCTGGAAGCTTCCAATCCTTGATCCCGATGCAAATTTCCAAGTTTTTCTATGAAACGACTTTTTATATACCTATCTGCTGTCTTTTTTTTGGAGCTTTTAGAGCCAATAGGGGGCTTTTTTGAATAACTATGGACGTGAAAAATGAATATTTTTTCATGGAAATTTGAAAGAAATCTATGTCTAGTTGTTGAAAGCAGTTAAACTGAATAAATATGTGAATATAGAAGCCAGAAGAGTTGATAGTTTCACCCAAAAAAAATTTGGTTGTTCCAGGTTCCAGTCAATGAAAGACACTTTGGACTATACTTATTTCCTGTAAATTTATCGATAGTTTCATCAGAAAAAAATCGATGTTTTATCTAAATCTAAGCTCTAGCTCCAAAATGTGTCAGTGTAAAATTATTGTATTTTCATAGAATCTTCAATTTTTCCATAATTCATAAATTTGATCGATCGTTCATGGATATCCAGACCAAAAGGAAGTCCTGGAAAGTTTCAAAGAATCCTTGAGGAGGGAATTTGAAAAAAAAAAACAGGAATTTCATAGGAAATCTTCAATAATGAGGAAAATATTTATAGAGTTTCTGCAAAATTTAATTTTTCCAGAAATTTCAACACTTCATATACTTAATTAACCCAAATCCAGCTTTCTGTTAACTACAATTATTGAAAACTTAAATCTCTATCATTTCTTAAACCTTTTCCTTCTGGATTAACCCCCTTATTTTTGCATATCCAAATATTCAGCCGCCACCCCCGCGGACTCTTATCAGCTCCTGAACGCCGCCAGTCAGCGATTGGTGGCTCAGGGCTCCGGCCAGATCCAACTGTGGCAATTCCTGCTCGAGCTGCTCGGCGATTCGTCGAATTCTGGATGCATCGTGTGGGAAGGCGCCAACGGCGAATTCAAGCTGACTGATCCGGACGAGGTGGCGAGAAGATGGGGCCAGCGAAAATCCAAACCGAACATGAACTATGATAAATTGAGTCGAGCATTGAGGTAATTATAAGTATTTTTTTTTAATAAGCTACAAATCAATCACTGATTATTCTAGATATTATTACGACAAAAACATAATGTCGAAAGTCCACGGTAAAAGGTACGCGTACAAATTCGACTTCCACGGTCTGATGGCGGCTTGCCAAGCCCAAGTGCAAACTCCCGGCGACATGGTACCCCATTACAAGTACCAGAGCCACCAAAGCGATCTGGCGGTGACCGCGATGTTTTCTGGGAACCCCGGAAGTGGTAGGATTCCTGGAACGATTTTGCCTCATCAGCAAGGGTTGTTCCATTCGACGTCGTACTGGGCGTATTCGTCCTAATTGTAGTTTTTGATGAAAATATTGTAATATTGGATTGTATATATAATATAAACTAGATTTGTAGGCATTATTTGATTAACCTGTATTAGGTGTTTTACATTATTTTCTCAATTTTTGCTTTTCCAGCTATTTTTTTTTCTTTTTCGATTAAATACATAGTATAAATAAGTTCCTCCCTATTAAAAAACCTTCCATAAGAAATATGTATTTTTTTTCATTTTTGTATTATTAATTCCATGCAAAATTAATATTCATCTTGCAGGCCTTTCGATTGAGTTAGGTTTGACTAAATTGATATTGTTCTCATTTTTAGTCCTGAGTCCATAGATTTTCAGAAAAAGCGCGCGGTGCCTTTATTTAAATTTTATATGTTTTCTTAGATATTATTCAGTAAAAATTCAACTACTATATAGGTCTGTTCTCATAGAAATCACAAACCAGTCAGAGCGTTTTTGATTGATACAAATGCCAACAAACAGTTTTCTGACTATTTTGAACCAATGAAATTCGCTCTGAGTGGTTTTTGATTTACGTGAGAGCAGATTTTATATCGTCTATTTCCCATTACAAATTCATTGCTCAAATTTGTGTGTCGATATTTGTAGTTCATCTAGTCATATACCTACTTGATGTCTTTTTTTTTTTAAATAATTCATCTACCTATATTTTATTCAAATGAGGAAGGGCAAGAGTTAGGTAATGAACAAATTATGCAAAAAGGCAATTTTTTCATATTTTCAACCCATAATATACAGAGTGTCCAGTGCCGGCCCGAGGCTACTTTTAGTATGGAGCGAGATTTTACTGTAAAGAAAACGAAAGAATATTTTGGAATTTTCATTCTCGATATTATTACATATAGATAGGTCATGGTCCCATATTGTGACAAACAAATAGGACTTGACGTTTTCTCTTCCCTTGATTGCTCCTTGCATTACATTCCATTATCTTTTATCTGTCAAATGGTCTGTCAAGTGATTACTCTTATGGCTAGGATGTTTGAGAGAGGTAGGTTGCCTGATAACTGTATGACGTTATCTGGGGTGCCTCATCCTGGCAGGAAAACTGAGGTCCAAAAGTAACCAGTTTTCCAGGAACTAGAGTAATTAGTAATTAGATTACTTTTGGATTAGGGATCGACCGATACCGATATTTATATCGGCCTATCGGCTATATCGGCCTCATTGGCCGATTATCGGTATCGGCCGATATCAGAAAGCCGATAAGCCGATAATTTTTTTTATTGGGAAAAAAATGTAAAAAAATGAGGGACAAAAACAATTACTTACATCAGAAATACATTTTTATGGACAATAAAATGTATATAGCTTCGAAAACTAAAATCGAAATGTTTAGCTTTTTTTACACATTTTTGCTTCGTAGGTACCTGAATCTGTTATCTAACGATATTTCACTGGGTGGTGTTTCGAAAGATGGTATTTCCTATATAGACGTAGACTTTCCAAATTTCACCGATAAATTGACCGGTTAAATAAACCGGTAGCTGTCAAAAAATCCGTTAAAAATTAGGTGTAAGTATTTTTATTATAACAACATTTTTTCATTCTGCAATCTGCAATTCTGCAAGCAACAATTTAACGAATGATTGCCGATAGTGCTCATCCAAAGCAAGTAATTTTAATGTATGTCAAAACAAAAGTGTCAAAAAATCTCTAATCGAAAAAAACAACAAAAATTCCCGGCGGAGTTAATCATTCTTTTGATTAATTTTAATCATCAGTTAATCATTAATTAATTTCATTCAATTTTGAAACGAATGATCGGGTTCAACCTTAGGGTTCAACCCGTAAAAAGTCGGCACATTTTGGAACGATTTGGCGAGTATTTTGAGTAAACTATAAAACCGGTATCGCACCCGTTCAGAAACCGGTGAATTTTGGAAAGTGCCCGTATTGGCCGTTTTTCCTTTGCCACCTTGACACACTCTTTTGACAGATTCTGTCACGATTCACGATAGGGATGAATAATTCCACCGCTTACTTCTCTTCAGACAATAATTACAGTTTGCTCTATTCTCTACTTTATAGTTTGGAACACATCTAATATAAAGCACAACTTAGCATGAGAATGAGGCGCTGATAAACGACAGACGACAATAAAAATTTAGACTTGCAGAAACACGCTCCGACGCAAGCCAGGACAAAGTATTACGACAGAAAAAAAAACGAACGACCGATAGGCCGATATATATCGGTCTTTGTAATATCGGTATCGGCCGATTATCGGTATCGGCTAAAATTTCTATATCGGTCGATCCCTATTTTGGATCGCTTTTCTGTCGATGCTACATCTTTGTTTTTGGTTGAGGAGCGATGATTAACCCTCAGATTTGACTGGATTTGACCCATTTCCCAAAATCATAAATACTTGCTTCTTGATGTTACTAAATAGGTACCAAGATCGTGTAATTGTGAGACGAAATCGTGTAAAACTATGTAATTTTACAGTGACTCTATAAGCCACAGTGGCGACAATTGCTGTCTCATTTTTGATTGGTTCTAAAATCCCATATATTTATATTGAAAACACCGCCATCTTGTTCCCAACCCCTTGTTACTTTTAAATATGAATATATGGGATTTAGGTGAACATCCATCATAAATCATGGAAAACAACGTATTTGATGGACCTAATAATGGTCATCAAATACGTCGATTTCAATTTTTCATGATAGATGTCCATTTAAATCCTATATATTAATATTTAAAAGTAACAAGAGGTTGGGAACAAGATGGCGGCGGGACCTCTATTGTCGCCACTGTATGTAAAGGTTTATTTAGCCACTGTATGTAATTTGACCAGCATATCGTGTAATTTTACAAATTCAGATTGGCAACACTGCATTGTCAATTAAACTGTCACCAGTGGTTTCGGACCTCACGCATAATATTCAGTTTAAGGCTATGGTCCGAATATAACCAAATGTTAACCAAAGCAACCGATCGGGTTGACAGATGGTTACTGAAATTTCCGGTTACCTAGGGAACACGAATATGAAATAAAAAATTGTTGACAGAATTTTTAGGAATTTACAGATAAATCCAAAAGAACCGACATCCGATAGTCGGTAACTATTTTGACATTTGGTTAACCAGATTTCAGGAAACCAAGGTCCAAAAGTAACCACTTTTCCAGGTACCAGAGTAATTTGATCGCTTTCGGACCGCGAAACCACAGCCCTGGTTATATTCGGATCACAGCCTTAATATTGTTTTAGATAGGTAGTTTTCATGATGTTTTTGTCAAATATATAAATTTAAAATTTTTATTATTAATCTAGACGCGTCGGGCCTGCGGCCCGACCGGCCCAGAGTTATACCGGGCATTTGCCCGGTTGCCCGGTCGTCCCATCCAACCCTGCTAATAGGTTTGTTCCAACCTGTCGAAAAAACGTCCCAGAACGGTTTCGGAACCACTCTGTATACGAATTTCTTTCGGTTTCTATGCAAAAATTATAGGTTTTGCGCTGAATCCTGACGATAATACTACGGTTTCCTACTGGGTTAGAACAAACAATGCTCAATGTCTCTATTTATCTTACCAATTGAAATTTGAAAACATTTCTGTTCGTTTGGTACAAAGTTCTCTTATTTACTAACATTTAGTTCACATTCTTTGATGGCATCAACCAATACTTTGGTAATATCACTTATAACACTTATGGCCATTTCCACCAACTAGTTATTTTCGGGAAGCCCTAACGATAAGTATTCCCTAAACTGACAGTTTTCCATGGAGAAATGTCAGTTTAGGGAATACTTATCTTAATAGTTTGTGGAAACGACCATTAGGGCCGGTTTATTCACCTTCTGATAAACTGTCAGGTGTCAGTCAGGTATGCAATCTGAACGATAAAAATGCAATATCTTATCCCATTGGTTGGCCAGCTATGCGCCGACCAATAGATTTATGGAACGGTAAATTTATCTTGCCGATAATTACCCGCAAGTTATTTATCTAAATATAAATAAACCGGGCCTAATAAATATAAAAATCGAAAAAACAAAATACGAAATTTTAGGTAAATTGGTATTTGCATACTTTTGCATTAGCTTTATTCATAATTCCTCATATGACAATATTTGAGCTATAACATTTTCAATGGACAGCAGGGTTAGATCTTGAAGGTGTCTCTATTCTGCTAGAGTTGACCGCTAAGGTAAGTTTTAATTACCTTAAGCTTACTAAAGCTCCGTTCACCTTTCGGCACTGTAACAGGAATGATAACAAAAATACGGAGAGCTGTCCAGATATAAGGAAACGTATCTTGCCAATTATTAAATGCTAACGCCTGAAGGACTGCTTTCAGATGACCGTTATCACTATCCGAAATATCGTGATCAAATGCTCGGGTAAGAGCGCCACCACACCCACGATCCGTGCGCGTCTCAAGAAAACGTCAGGACAGGTTATTCACATACTAAGTAAGCACAAGCTTGCTCACAAGCAGAAAAGCAAAATATCTAAAAGCAGAGACAGAATTCAAAGCGATAATATATTTTTCTTTTTTTTTTATTACCAAGGAACAAGTCGAAGGCGCCCCCCGAGGTCTGGCGCCTGGAGCGCTCGCTCAGTTCGCCTTATGGTAGGGCCGGCCCTGAGGGTGTCCCACGACGTTTCTCCCAAGTAATAACTTCGGAACGCGTCATCCAATATAATTAAATTTTTTAGGATCTGGGAAACTCTTTGTCTACCATTGTCATCCAATTTCACCACTTTCGCTTCAATTTCGGTCAAGTGACGTCAACTTTTGAATGTTAAATGTAACACATGGTATAGGTATTATGGCATTTTTCATTAGAAAATTAAATTGCAAAATCGCCAATGCCATATTCGTTAAGGCTTTGTTAGAGAAAATGATAAAAAATTACACACTGGAACATTGATGATGCGTTCCGTAGTTATCATTTGGGAAAAATCTCGTGGGTCACCCTGTATAAGGATTATAGGTGCCCTAAAACCGTACCAATTTTGAAAAAAAAAAACAGACACAATGTGGACAGTGTTAAGTATTAATCACTTTTCAAAAGACGAATGTGAAAGCCTATGGAAAAACATCGAAAAAAAATAAAAACTCAATTTGAAGCCTAACCCAAACAAAATCACCCAAAATTGCTTAACACGATTTTATCCCAGGAACTATAAGTGCAAATGAGCTGAAATTTTCAGTCCCTTCAGTGGGATGAAATTCAGTAAAAATTTCAGCTTTCTATCTATAATAGTAAAAAAGTTATGACCTTGCAAAGTTTTCCAAAATCTACATTATAAGAGGTACCTTCTTACTAAAACGATGAAATTTCAATTTTTTTTTTGTCGAGATTTTGTTACCTAATGGTCGATTAACATCCCCCAAACTCCATACACTAAATTATTCTCAGATTTGAAGCCGAAACTTATGAAAAAAGGCACTCAGAAAAATTGAAAAATTGGTAAATCACCCCAAATTGCTTAACACGATTTTATCCCAAGAACTATAAGTGCAAATGAGTTGAAATTTTCAGAGATTATAGTCCCTTCAGTGGGATGAAATTCAGTAAAAATTTCAGCTTTCTATCTATAATAGTAAAAAAGTTATGACCTTCCAAAGTTTTCCAAAATCTAAATCATAAGGTAGGTAGGTACCTTCTTACTGAAACGATGAAATTTCAAATTTTTTTTTTGTTGAGATTTTGTTACCTTAATGGTCGATTAATATCCTCCAAACTCCATACACTAAATTATTCTCAGATTTGAAGCCGAAACTTATGAAAAAAGGCACTCAGAAAAATTGAAATATTGGTAAATCACCCCAAATTGCTTAACACGATTTTATCCCAGGAACTATAGGTGCAAATAAGCTGAAATTTTCAGGGATTATAGTCCCTTCAGTGGGATGAAATTCAATAAAAATTTCAGCTTTCTATCTATAATAGTAAAAAAGTTATGACCTTCCAAAGTTTTCCAAAATCTAAATTATAAGAGGTACTTACCTTCTTACTGAAACGATGAAATTTCAAATTCTTTTTTTGACGAGATTTTGTTACCTAATGGTCGATTAACATCCCCCAAACTTCATACACTAAATTATTCTCAGATTTGAAATCGAAATCTATGAAAAAAGGCACTCAGAAAAATTGAAAAATTGATAAATCACCCCAAATTGCTTAACACGATTTTATCCCAGGAACTATAGGTGCAAATAAGCTGAAATTTTCAGGGATTATAGTCCCTTCAGTGGGATGAAATTCAGTAAAAATTTCAGCTTTCTATCTATAATAGTAAAAAAGTTATGACTTTCCAAAGTTTTCCAAAATCTAAATTATAAGAGGTACTTACCTTCTTACTAAAACGATGAAATTTCAATTTTTTTTTGTCGAGATTTTGTTACCTAATGGTCGATTAACATCCCCCAAACTTCATACACTAAATTATTCTCAGATTTGAAGCCGAAATCTATGAAAATAGGCACTCAGAAAAATTGAAAAATTGATAAATCACCCCAAATTGCTTAACACGATTTTATCCCAAGAACTATAAGTGCAAATGAGCTGAAATTTGCAGTCCCTTCAGTGGGATGAAATTCAGTAAAAATTTCAGCTTTCTATCTATAATAGTAAAAAAGTTATGACCTTCCAAAGTTTTCCAAAATCTAAATTGGATGATGATAATTGAAAAGGAACCAAGCGCCAAATTGCAAAAATCTGGATTATGGAACCATACGACAGTTTGGCATTTATTTTTAATGTGTAAAAAGTCTCAAGCGCCTACCGGCATCCTAGCGGCATGTATTGATTGAAGATCCAAGTTCCAGTACTGTTTATAGAAAATGATTACTGTGGCTTGGTTCCCTTTATATTTTCGGACAGTTTTGTTTGTGAATGCTGGTTTTCATGTTTTTGGATTTCAATTTGAACTAAAAATGAGTGAAAGAACTAAGGATGGGCCAGGTGAATCTTTTACTAGAGTGTATATGCTTGGAAAGGTTGAAGTGTGCCGTCGTGGTACTTATATCAACACCTACCAAATATCCACAAAGCGGGTTAACACTGCATTAGAAAAAAAAAAACGTAGCACCAAAATACAAGACGAGCGAGGAAAATCTGGAGGGAAGAAGGAAATTGATGTAGAATCAATAAATAAAATTATCGATCACATAGCCAAATTTCCTACCTATGTGTTTCACTACTATCGTTCAGAAACGGAAGCGAAATTTTCACCTTACGACCTCACAGAAAGAAAAATGTCTCTATGTAAAACACAAAAATCCCAAAGTTAGTTTTCAGTTCTATAAAAATATATTTTATAAACATTTCAATTTGAGGCCAAATCCCCCTATAAAAGACACATGTAACAAGTGTGTGATAATCAAGGACGTGAGAGACGGCCTACTCAAGCCAAGCAACGTGGTGTCGGGTTGGAGATTGAATGGGTGACCGCAGTAGTACGGGACGGTGGGTCGACCGCGCTGCCGCCAATCATCTGATCTCCAAGTATGAATGAGAAGTATGAATGAGAAGGAGTAGAGCCCATACGAATGACATACAAAAAGCATATAAAGGCTGCAGTGTAGAGTATGGGCTCGAAAGGGTGAAACCAAAAAAAAAAAAAAAAACAAGTGTGACATGTATTCTTCACAGGTAAAAAATGCACAGAATGAGAATCAACAGCTAGTTTTAAAAGAACAACATGATACGAATCTTGAAAATGCGCAGCTTGCTCAAGATCAGTTGAATAAAGATTTAAAGGAAGCAAGTGGGAACCCACTCATAGAAACCCACTCATAGAAACCCTCTGCTAGGATATGGAAAAGGTCCTAGGATTACCCAAACTACCAACAAAGATTGCTTATTATAAAAGACAATTGAGTACTTTTAATGAGGGGGTTCATTCAGGCTCCACAAACACTCCGCATATTGTTTTTTTTTGTGGAAAAAAGGTGTAGCCGGTCGGGGAGCACAGGAAGTGGGCTCATGTTTAAAGAAGTTTGTCGAAGTGCACCTTAAAAAGAGAGTAGAGGAATTAATATTATGGTCAGGTAGCTGTGGTGGACAAAATTGTAAACAGATCCAGGGAGCTTAGATCCTTTCCAGGTTATAAAAAACTATTATTTAATTATTGAAAAGGATCCATCTGCCAAAAAAGGGCTCAAATTATATTTTGCTAAGTGGAAAAAAGATAATCCACTAGTGTTTATCATTTGCTTTCAAACGTACAACAGTTTAATATGGAAAAAATTTCTAAAAATATGATAATTTTTAAAAAACGTGATATATTACTAAACCACCGACTACGCAAATTTATAATTTGGTGCTTGGATCCTTTTCAATTAGCATCATCCAATTATAAGAGGTACCTTCTTACTGAAACGATGAAATTTCAATTTTTTTTTTTTTGTTGAGATTTTGTTACCTAATGGTTGATTAACATCCCCCAAACTCCATACACTAAATTATTCTCAGATTTGAAGTCGAAATCTATGAAAAAAGGCACTCAGAAAAATTGAAAAATTTATAAGTCACCCCAAATTGCTTAACACGATTTTATCCTAGGAACTATAAGTGCAAATGAGTTGAAATTTTCAGGGATTATAGTCCCTTCAGTGGGATGAAATTCAGTGAAAATTTCAGCTTTCTCTCTATAATAGTAAAAAACTTATGACCTTTCAAGGTTTTTCAAAATCTAAATTATAAGAGGTAGGTACATTCTTACTAAAACGATGAAATTTCAATTTTTTTTTTTTGTTGAGATTTTGTGTCCTAATGGTCAATTAACATCTCCCAAACTCCATACACCAAATTATTCTCAGATTTGAAGCCGAAATCTATGAAAAAAGGCACTCAGAAAAATTGAAAAATTGATAAATCACCCCAAATTGTTTAACACGATTTTATCTCAGGAACTATAAGTGCAAATGAGCTGAAATCTATTATATAAAATCTATAATAGTAAAAAAGTTATGACCTTCCAAAGTTTTCCAAAATCTAAAATGTAGGTACCTTCTTACTAAAACGATGAAACTTCAAATCAAGAGCCCTAGGCTCTCTGAAATAATTCTGAAGTTTTTAAATTGTTCTGAAGCCTTTCATAATGCTGCTGGAAAGTGTTTTGGAACGTTTCAAATGGTTTTATTGAAGTTCTAAAGTGTTCTAACTTGGTTGAAGAGTTCTGGAGCATTTTAGAAGTTTTTCAGTAATTTTTAAATTGTTCTGACAGATTTTTAAGTACTTTATTTGCTTAAAGATGTAGGATATTGAGAGAAATTTAACAGGAAAATTGCAAATAAGTGATTCATTTATAGTTCAAAATTCATTAAAATTATGTAATAAGTTTTCAAGATTTGCAGAATTCAGAGGATTGAAATGTCCATAAGAGTTTTCTCAAAGGAAAATGATACAATTTGCAAGTCCTAGGAATTATCTCTAAATCTTTCCTTAGAAATCCAGAAACTTTCAAAATCAATACATATATTTATAAGTAGATAAATACTATGATTTGCTGAGATTGTTGTGAGATAGTTGCTATGAATAATTATAATCCTTTTACATTATTACTAGTAGAGGTATATTGTTAGAATTCTTTGCACAAGATCATTAAAATAAATTATATATGAAATGACCTGAAAAATCCTCAAATTTGAACAATTAGGTAGGTATTCTCTGGGAAGCCCTTATTCTATCAAAAATGCAACTCAATCAAAGTTAAAATAATATAATAATTCAATAATACAAAAGCAATAATTCTATTAACATTTTTGTCACAAAAGTTTTAAACAGTAGTACAAAAAAAATCTAATCAGTCTTAACACAAAACCATAAAGCACAAAAACACCTAAAAATTTAAACCATTACGAGTCCATATCCATTGTTGCAATAAATTCACTATCCATATCCAAAGGTGGATCATCATCTTCTTCTGTATCTTTTCCTTTGGTGTTTTTACTATTGTCCAACAAAGCTGGCAGTACCTTGCTTGGTGGTTTCCACAAAACCAGAGCTGTACAGGGTTGTTGCATTTTGGAAAGCAGCGAAGTTGGTAGTAAGGGTTCTGGTTGCAATTTGCGCATTTCCTCGCACATGTATAGCCTTTTGTTTTTAAGAGATTCTGGTTCCAGAACTGATGGTACCGTTTCGGAGTTGATGTGTAGCTTGGACATGTACTCTGCCATTTTTTCTTCTGTAATGTGTTGCTTATTGTAGAGTTGTAAACTAGAAAAATTTATTATAATTATTAATTAGTTTATTTAAATTATTAAATAATTCTTACGGTGGTGAGTTTGTTTTCCGTTTGCCCAAATTAAATTTGTTAGGTTTGAGGCTGGAAAAATCATTGGGTGCAGTATAATGTGGGAAGTGTCCCATCATGGGACTATTTGGGTAACCAAACGAAAACGAAGTTGGTACTGGTGGGGCTATGGGCGAGGGAATTTGTTGTTCTGGTATAAAACTGGAAAACATTGGGGTAGTGTTTTGCAAGTGCATAGACGGATTGTGCTCATAGAAAGGATACGGATTTGTTTGGCCAGGGTAGGAATCGAAACGGAACACTGATGATTGCGGGGTTTTTTCGTTTGGGTCCCTTATTATATTATTGTAATCCATTGTGGACAAAACACTAGGGAAAGTGGAACTAGTACAATAACAAAAATGTTAAGAGAGGACGAGGACACAAAAACACCATCACAACATAACCTAAACAGAGACGGAGAAATATTTGATCCTATTTTATTTCTGTCTCTCTAAATTAATTGAGTTCACTGCACTTTTATATTTTTCTTGCAACTCTCTCTGAGCATCAAACAGAAGTTATAAACTCAGTCTTTCTTTACTAAACTCCACAATTACTCCACTATCTGGAATTCGTTTGCTTTTATTCCTCGTTTTATCAAACCTGGAATATTCTAGGCCCATTCTAGTAGAGGGCCATAGCCATCTATCTCTTTCTACTTTGACTTGTCATTATCAATATTGACACTATGGTGGAAGTTCTTTTATTTTTGCTTAATTGATATTGATACTGTGGTGGATGCACCTTTTCCAATGTCTTATGGAGAATGGCCTTCTATACCTTCTACTTCTACTTCATTCAACTGTTAAGTAGTGGTGGAAAACTATCGATGGCGCTATTGCTAACTATCGATAGTATCTACTATCGAAATATATCGATAGTTTTTTTCAACAATCGATAGTTTTCGATAGTTGGCTGTACAGTGACTCTATAACCCACAGTGACGACAATTGCTGTCTTATTTTTGATTGGTTCAAAAATCCCATATATTTATATTGAAAACACCGCCATCTTGTTCCCAACCCCTTGTTACTTTTAAATGTGAATATATGGGATTTAGGTGAACATTCATCAAAATCAGGGAAAACAACGTATTTGATGGACCTAATAATGGTCATCAAATACGTCGATTCCAATTTTTTATGATAGATGTCCATTTAAATCCTATATATTAATATTTAAAAGTAACAAGAGGTTGGGAACAAGATGGCGGCGGGACCTCTATTGTCGCCACTGTATGTAAAGGTTTTATTTAGCCACTGTAGTTGGCTGTAACGCCCATTAATAAGCGAAAGTTAGGTTAGATGCACATGCACAAAACTGAACTGCAGAAACCAGAATCTTAAACTACTAACAGGAGTTGTATTCCTTTCATACCTAGGAGGAGCTCCGGAACAGCTCCGGGGCGTTACGCGCTTATTCCTTTCTGAAAGTGTTTGTTGCACCACGCATCTGTTCCCTGCAAATCGGGGGCGACTAACACCGGGGCGAGTAGCTCAAGTGCTTGAAACTCTTGAAAGGAATACCTACAACTAGGATTGCTCATCCTCATAAGACGTAAATTTGCCAGTTCTTGAGTCGGCAAGGCCTGCGGGTGACGTCACAAGTAGAAGAGTTGATTTTAAAAATGGAATTTTTTTATAAAAAGCAATCTAAAAAGACTTTCATTACTGTGGTGCGTAGTGCCATTATTTCTGACAAAAGTTCTTGAAGAATGTTGAAATAATCGATAATAATAATGATTTTTATACAAAAATTCTAGGCTTTCAGAATAGGATATTTTCATTTTCGGAAAAAAATAAGTTCTCCGCAAATGATAGATCAGAGATATGATAGATGTTGACGTTTAAAGGTCATTAAACTATTTCCTAGAATCATATTTTTAGTACATCAAAAAGAAAATAAGGTTTTTGTCTATCTATCTATCCTTTGCTAACTAATGTAATTTACATTCATATGACGTACAGATATCTTTAATATTTCCTTATAACTTGTAACTAAATACTATCGAAAACTATCGATATTAATCGATAGTCAAGGTCCCGACTATCGATAAGTATCGATGGTCGAGACTATCGATAGTTCTCCACCTCTACTGTTGAGGCGCAAACCTTCTACAATTAGGTAATATAAATATCTTTTTTGTCATACGCTCCCAAAAACAGCTATTTTACGGACTCATTCAAGTCCGTAAAATGCTTCTTTTTAGGACTTTTTTTCCTGACTGGATGCACCTTTATGATTGCAAAAATTAAGAAAATTTTGCAAGTTTTAGCGTTCGGAAGAATTCTAAAAAGCGTATGACAAAAAATAGTGTTTGTCACACGCACCTAACGAAATTTTTCAGGTAGGTACTTGTGACAAAAATAACTATTTTCAACTGACGTTTCATAATACGCTTAAAATGAATCATAATGATACGGATTTTCATTATGATACAGATTTTTCAGCCACTGACTGGAATCGAGTTATTTTGAACATGAACAATGTTTTCATAAAAATAACAGACTTGTTTTGGAATTTTGGATTGTTTCTATCGTAGGTGGGTTCGACTTGCTCACTCCGTGCACTCCGAGTGACTCCATTCGCACCCCAGCCGTTCGGGATAAGGTTCGGGTATTGCTTTTTACCGTATTAGGGGTGACTCCATTAGCTCTGTTCACTCCACTCCAACTCCGTGCTGAATAGCCGAACCCAGCTATTATTTACCAAAAGAAACAACAAAAAATTAATAAATCTGGTGCGGAATTTATGCCCAAATAACAGATCTTAAGTTTCGAAATTGTCAATAGTTGTCAATAATTGTCACCATAGTTGAGAAGTTTACTCTAAGTTTACTATTCTTGAAATAAATATGTAAGTATTTAAGGGCTTTAAATTTCCTCCATTTTCCGCCAAAATTTTTCAGTTTTCCAAGGGGGTAAGTATACCTAACGAAAACTCAAGTTTTATCAAGTGAGCTTTGGAACAACTGTGCCATAATGTAAAATTCCATTTCAAATGCTTTTTCTGTAAGTTTTGATGTGGCAACACCACTATTGTGATGTGACCAACTTCACGAGGTAAATTCTCCAGTTTTCTAATGGGGCAAGTGAAAATAACTTTAGTTTTATCAAGTAGACTTTGAAATGTTGATTTTTCTTTGGATTTTCCGCTTTTCCAGGGCCTTTTTAATCGGAAAAAATTGATTTTAAAGACAGGGCTTTAAGTTTGATTAATTTTTTTTACCAAAAACCTCTATTTTTAGAACTCAATTTTCCTACTTTATCTCCCTCTTTGTTCTACTCACTATCAAAACAGACCTTGGAATGTCATTTTCATTAAATTTTGTTAAAAATAAGTTTCCATTGCATTATTTTGGGAACTTAATTATCATTTAATAAACATTATTAATTGATTATTCAACTAAATTTAAAACAAAAACCCATTTAAAATCTATCATCTTTTTCTTATTTGAGATGATGTGGCAAATGTCAGTTTCAATCAAGTAGGCCTTGTAATGAAATGTCATTTTCCACTTTTCTTTTGTCGATCGACCATTTTTTAATTGACGTGTTTATATTTTATCCAGTTTTTCCTCGATTTTTCCGCTTTTCCAGGCCGTTTTCAGTCGGGAAAATTAGTTTAAAATACGAGGCTTTGAATATCCTTCATTTTCCGCCAAAAATTTGCAGTTTTCCATTGAGGTAAGCAATGAAAAATCAAGCTTTATCAAGTAGGTTTTGGAATGTTATTTTGACTGGTTTTTCTGTTGATTTTACGCTTTTCCAGGCCGTTTTCAAGCGGGAAAACTGATTTAAAGTACGAGGATTTGAGTTTTCTTCATTTTCTAGTAAAAATTTCTGGTTCTAAATGCCATAATTAGCAAAATCCCATTTCAAATGCTTCTTATAATCTTGACAACTTGTATTTTCGACTTTTTTCAATTTTAACCTTTAAAAAATTCGTACTTTTGTATTTCGATCTTTTGTATTTTCGACATTTTGTATTTTTTGACTCGAAAAAGTCATTATATACCTTACGCATTATAAAGGCCCTGTATATAATGACCAACTTCTCTACCTAGATATTGGGTCTTCAAAAAAAAACCAATCAAAGATTGCTATGGTTTTTTAAACGTATGTCTTAACAATATTTTTCTTTAATTTTGTCAATGAACTTTAATGTCAAAATGTCATGTCAAAAATTCTGACCAATAAATATGAAACAATAATGCGACGTATGTGTTCGTAATCAAAGCAATCTTTGATTATTTTTTTTTTGAAGACCCGATATCATCTATTCACAATTCGATGTCCAAACGTAAAGGTAAAATTTTCCACCTTTCAGTGCTATTTCATAGGGAAAGGTGATAAATTTACCTTTACCTTTGGATTACGGATTGTGAATAGGATATATGATGTAAGGTACCTGACCCAAATAAGGCCATATGTACCTAATAAGGCCAGTGCCCTTTATTACCTAATATTGAATCCCATTTCCAAAAATAACAATATTATTAAAAAAGAAATCTATAATGCAAATCAAAAATTATTGCAAGGATTCCTAGCAACTCGTCATAAGTCGAAAAATGGTCATTCACATATTTCATATGTCACGTTATAACTTTGAGGCTGGAACCCAGTTAGCTTATATTCGTGTTTATGAAATGAATGGAGCGTGGAGCGAATGTAATTTTTTAACGGACATTTATATATTGAGGAAGCTACAGAGTAAGTACAGAATAATATCTTTGCTAGATTTCTAGTTACATACTTTTTTTTATTAATTAAACATGTTCCTAATAAGGCCATCATACGAAAAATGTTCAATTGGCCTCATATCACAGTGTTTTATTTAAAAGAATGTGCCGTATTATTACCTGAGTCCTGACTGATATTTTTTGAAATACCTGGAGTTTAACCACGCAAGAGATGCTGCGGTTCATTTGTCCTAGTTGTATGTAGACCTATTTGGATCATCACTGTCTCAGGACTTGGAAATATTGTTTTTTTTTAGGAATGCAGCGAACGTATATAAGTTCTATTTTGTGTAGGTACTATTTCTCAAATAATAATATTTGTATAAATAATTGTATTTGTTTTAAACATTTTTTAATGGTGGGAGCATAGTGATCCAAATAAGGCCAATGGTAAGCGTCTCTGTTTTACGCAAAAACCACCACTTATATAAAAAAAATAAATAAATTGGAGTTAATATTCAAGTAATAGAGGCGAAACACTTCACATATAAGCTCGTGATTTTTGTTGGATTTGGTGGATAATGTTAGGAAAAAATAAAACTTCTTAACGTGGCCTTATTTGGGACAGATACCTTACATATTATATCAATAGAAATAAATTGAGTAAGTAGAGGTATGCTGCAAATTTCATATTTTATAGGTTTTTAACACTGTCTATCTTGCTCCCAACAACAGTTCCAACTGGTTTTTTTTTTTGAAACACGAAAAGATTTTTTTTTTTTCAAGAGGAATTCTGTTGCTGGACAATCTAGGAAAATTATCCTCATTGCCACATCCAGATGTCCTTAGACGTTTTTCTTTGATCTTC